CCAACAAAATTTATACTAATTTGTAATTTCTACTGATTCATCACCAACTGAGTTATTTGCAAGTTGTTAAAGCAATAATTTTATTTCATCACCAATCAATCAATCTGCTAGTAATTTCATTAGTTAGCCTATTTGTTAAGTCATTTTATTACACTCATTTTCAGTTGTGGAATATTTACTTACACATTTCCACTTTATATTATGTTTACAAAAAAGAAATATTCTCATCAACTGCCTGCATTCAGAATTTTTTCCCGCAGCTTTTCAATTTTGTTACATTGTTGGAATTTCAATTCTGAAAGAGAGAAGTATTTTAGTTTACTTCTGTAAAATTATTTGATATCAATTGACAGAAAAGAAAATAGTAGAAGATTCTTTTCTCTCCCTCTCTTTCTCTCTCTCTCTCTCTTTCTCTCTGTCTCTCTCTCTCTCTGGAGAGCATCGAAAATATCCTAGGGGTTCTCATTCTTTCCTCTGTCCACTGGCTACTTCATCTCGGCTTAATTATGTCATCAATGAAGCCAGAAGATTGCTAGCTATGTATATTTACTCTTAACATATACTCGTGTGCATAAAGTTGTCTCAGTGAAATATTTCCATAAATCAAATACTGCCTGAGAGAATATTCAGATTTACTGATGATTATGATTATAATTATTAAGCACGATATGATTCTTCCTATCGAGATAAGTATGCTGCACTAACTTCTACCTGAGACAACTCTAGCATCTTCTCACTAGTTACTTAACAAATCTGAAATGCCATCAAGTATTTTTATCCATTCAAGCAATTATCCTTTCCAGTCATATTCTCCAGTTCATAGTCGATAATTGTAGTAGTCAAGAAAATGATAGTGGTGATAATAATTATGAGATGATGATGATAATGATGATGAAAGATTATAATGATGATGAGATGATGATGGTTGTATTTAGGTGTGCCTCTTGCCTGCTGCTAGCTCACTAAGATTTCGCGCATTACTACTATTCGTCAATAGACGACTCTTGGGTAGATAGATGGCTTAATAGATTAAACTTGAAGGAGGGTAGATTGAGAGTGGGGTCTATATGTTAGCAGGACGATATATTCGATATGTTTTGTGATATTAGGGGTGATCAGCTGGTCAACCACTCTATTAACAACACTTCCACCACTCGCTTCAGCGATGTCTCTCGCTGTTTAAAATTGTTTTTGCGATTTATAGATGATGGCAATTTAATTTGTTATCATCCAATTAGTGATACACCTAAATAAAACTTTAATTGTTTGTTTTCGATTTAATTAAAATGCAAGAAAATAAGGTCATTTTCTTCCCCAAAAAAAAACGAAAAAAAATTAGGCTATAATTTATTTTTCACCATATACCTGTCCTGTCATTATTTCTTGCCAACTGTCATCTTGATGAGTGATTAGCAAATGATGGTAGACCGCTTGCTAAGAGACTAGAATGCTCGGTGATTTTATAATTGCAATATATCGCCAGGATAAACAGTTGACCGATTTCAAGCCATCATCACATTTTTCATCACTTTCAGTGAGTAAAATTGGTTAATTTGATCGATTGAGATAAGACATTTATCGCTCATAGAAAACTTTTGCATTTCTCTTATAACTTCTAATCTCTGTTTTTTGCATTTGAAAAAGATAAACAATTGGAAAAAAGAAAAATCGTCGAATCTTACTGCCTCTTTTCCCTAAATATTCTTCACTTAATATTTACGGTTTTGTTGAAATTTCTTTAGCTAATTACCATTCACCAATGTTATTTATATTTAAGAAATTAGTAAGTAATGTTTTTATTCAGATTTTAAACCAAATCTTATTATGTCGATATTCATTTTTTTTAACTGTAATAATTCGTCGCATATTAAAGAATTAATATCAATGATATGAGAATAAATAGTCTTTTCCCTAAATGGTCGGTAAATAACGATAAAGTTTTTCGAAAAATCATGCAACCTTACCTCTTCCATCACTGTTATTCATTTGTTTAACTTTGAATAACGAAATAGCAGATGGATCAAATGCGCAGATTGAAAAATAGTTATAATGGAAATTAATACTAGAAAGGAAACACCAAACATACATAGTTCAGTCATATCAGCTAATTCGTTATGAGCGTTATTGTCGCACTCACACTTCGTCCAGTTTTTAGATCCTATTGTATCTTAATTAATATATAAATTAATACATCACTTAAATTCTTGCCATCATTCAATATTGCAATTGATTGTTATTTCGTGCACTAAACTTTTGCTTCATTTTTATACTTTCACCCTAGCTGATGTTTGAACTTTAATCGTCTAAAACGATCCAGTCGAGAATGGAGTAATCGAGACCTAAAATTCATTAATAAATATTTATGATTATCTTAATATTGCCTAGTTTTACGATGGTAAAATATTGATTAAGCAATAATTTAGAAAGAACTTACCATATTTTCAGCAGTTAGGATCAATATTTATTCAAAAATTGCTCTTGGAGAAGAGCGGAATTAAAAAAGTGAATGAATGATTAATCCTTTTCTACGGCTGATAACATCAACAAATAATTAACAAGAAATTCTTAGTTCTTGGGAGGAAATTTTATTTGGATCTTCTAAAATTAATTAACTACTTCATCTATTGAAATATTCTTTTATCCAAAGCTATCCATCCTATTCAAAGATAAAATCTAAAAAATGAACGGTTTTGTTTGATTTGTCTCTTAACACAATGAATTGTTTTAATTGCTTCCAGCAGTCTATAAATTAGGCCAAAATTCGTAAGGCCTTTATTTCAAACATTTTAGTTCGTTTCATTCATTCACTCTTTCTTCCCTCTACTTATTTCATGTATTATTTTGTTGCTTGAGATAATGATAGCTAAGAATTTAAGTCTAGAAAATAAGCATTCTTCCTGGAATACCGTCCTGCACGAAATGATTTCAATATAGTTCCCAGTCAGAACCTTTTTTTCTTAAAATAGGCGATATGGAGTTATGCGTATTGTCTTTAAGTTAATTGAAGTATGATTTTTCTTTTAATAACAATCCTTCTTTATTCAATTTTGTAGTTTCACTGAAACGTTTTCTCCTTTCTTTTTGTTATTCGTTAAAGATGAAAGGCACTGAAAAATATTGAAGGTTCATTTCCCTATCCATAAAAAAATAAGAATAATTAACTGGACAAAGTATTCCTGGAGGAGTGCAAATGACATCACCGTGGAAACGACATTTAAAAATTGTCTGATAAATAATTTTCCATTCATCACTTTCAGTTGTAAACACCTCTGGTCATTTCTTGATACTTTCAGCTATTGCTTTTATTTATTTTAGTCCGTTTTTATATATTTATCATAGTCCTAACTCTCAATTCGAATTAAAAACTTTTCCCTTATCTAATAATAATTAAGGAGCCTGGAAGAAGAAGGTAAATGGGATAAGCGTTCATTCATTTATCTTTTTTCACTACCAATAATCAATAGTACGACATTTCACTGTTTCGACTGGATATAAAGTAGATAAACTCCAAGACAGTAGATCATTTCGAATATAGTCGGAGTGCTATGTGCTGAAGTACGCCAAAACAAAAAAATTAATTCTAAGACGATGAAAATCCCTATTTTCTGTTATGGTTGTATTCTATCTATCCATTTGTAGTTATCAGCTGAGAATGACTCATCAGCTAGTTTTGATCTTTTATATCTGATAACTTCCTAGCAAGTATCGATTAATGAAAAATGATGTTTGATGCGTACGCCGAGGATAAGTGTCATTATATGAGTTCTAAAGCAGCGGTAAGTTTTTTATTGTGTATCCAAGGTGATAAATAGAAGTTGTTAATGCAGTAGCCATTATCAATTAATAACATATCTCATTATTAAACTGTTCAATAATTAACACACTTTTGCAATGATTTCAAAACTTTCAAAACTTTATGCTAGCTTTTTTCCTCAACAAAGTTCGTTATGATTATACAGTTGCATATTGGTCGGATGAGTTTTATTATTATTATTATTATTATTATTATTATTATTATTATTACTGTCATAATAATTATTATTATTAATTATTACTGACAACTACATAAATAGTAATTTTTCTGAGAAAGATTCCTATTCTTAGTTTTGCTATTTTTGTAAGTTTAGCGCCTGAACGAAATTATTATAATGCTTTAGGAGGCTCTGTTCAATTTCGAAAATGGGAGTATTCAAAAATGGAATATTGATCGATTTCAAGTCTTCGTTGTTATTAACACGATCTCCTGTTAATTTACTTTTAGCAACATATATTTTTTGTTTTTGAACAGAAATATTTTAAGTTGAATCGATCCTTTTATTATATTTTTAATTTTCATCTTGCTTGATTTAATTTGACATAATTTCAGCTAATTTGAGTAATTTAATTTATTTTTTCGTTCTTTTCCTTTCATTCCTCTCTTATATGAAATGTTCTTTTTTCCTTCTATTTTTTTTTCTGAATGCGTTTTTTTCGCGAACCATAAATATCATTTTTTAAGATTTCAAAAATTTCAACTTTTAGCTACAGATACTGATTCTCAGTAAAACTTATCAAAATAACGATTATTCTGTTGGCGATTACCCATTATGCGCAAACTGTTTGGTCACTTCGGGAAGAAAAAGCTCAAAAAGTATAACTATTTGTCATCGTAATGTATTGTTAATTAAATATGTTTTTGATTATAAAAATAATACAATGAAAGATTGATTGATTAACCGACACAGTTTTATCATTTCGAACTTTAATTGCAATCTGATCGACCATCCCTTAAATTAAGGAAATTATTCAAAAAATAAAAAGTCAAATAATTAGGCAATTGAATAATAGTAATGACGAAACAGTGTTTTTAATAAAAACCAAAAACTGTCATCTGTCTGTGGCGTCAGATATATGCAAATTTATTTGATGACACCAATCTCACAGTAATTTGCATAATCCGACAAACTGACTTTCGGAGCTATAAAGTTAGTTAACTGTATATATTGTTGATACAATAGTGAATGATGGATGTCACCTGTTTCAATTCATCCAGAAGGTCTCTTTTTTTTCTTTATTACTACAAAAAGCTAATTCAAATGATTTATTCCGCGAATTAGATTGGGTGGTAAATTTAAAATTTTTAAAAACTGTAAAATTGAATTTTCTACATAGTTTCAGAGTTTCATTCGATGAGCAACGATTGAAAACATTTGTTTACGACAAAGATACCATTGATGGCTCATCGGAAATATTACACATTAAGTCACCTTTCACCGAGTTAGTTTATTTATTTACTTATTCATTACTGTTAATGCTTAAACTTTTTCAAGTTATTCTAGTTATTTCTACTTTTTCTTCTTTGTTAGAGCAAAGTCCTTATTAAACTTTAATAAGTTTAATATGTTATTATAAGTTTGACAAATTAATTTGTAAGAGTGAGATACTCCACCTAATTATTCAATCTAAGATATAAGTAATAATTAGAAAATCTTATACCGAGTAAACTTTATTTGGATAGCAGATGGTTTTACTGTATTCCAATACTGTTCCTTATCTTTCAGAAAAAAAAAGTTATCAAATTAATCTGTTTAATTCATTCCACAATTATACTATCATCTAATTTTAGTCATACAATATGCATCGATACCTTTTCGACATAATTAAAAGTGTTTCTGACTTATGCTTATTCGTAGCAGAACAACTCTACATTTTAAAAAACATTTATTACGAAATTTTATTAAAAGTAAGATTTGACGAATTTACTTTTTAAGAAGCAAAGTATCATTAGCTTCTAATATTTACTGTTTTATCAAGTCGCATAAATCATATCACGGACGTTGTTAATTTCACTTACGCATTTTCAATTGTGCTATACGAGTTAGCATGTTTGGGTTGCGTAAAGTTAGCACACGTTCCACTTTCTTAGCATTAAGGAGTTTAAGAGGATACTATGATATAAATTGTAAAGTATAAAGTGTTTTTGTTTCAAGAATATTTCTGTTAATATGTTGGCAATCATCGTTAACAGCAATACCTGCGATGTTGTTGCTAATTTCTCTTCTTTTCTGAGGAATGCCTGGCACATTCACCCATTTTATTTTTCATTTTCAAAATTTAAATGAAATGTTCTGTCGACATTGTCCTGCTAATTTCATCTATACAGATGTCAGTTAGTTAATACTTTTAGGATTTTAATGCTCGTTTCGACATCAAAGACCAAACATGCCATGTTAGAATTATTGATAACTAACAAGGCTACATTTTAAACAATTTTCATCTTATTAATCAGTTTTAAAATTATAATATAAAATAATTAATTGCATATTCAACAATTACGTAGTTTGTTATTATCAACTTTTTTTTTTTTTTATAAAGATAAAATTTGTAAGTATTTAATCTATTATCGAATTTTTTTTACAAAGATTTTTATAAGATAAAGTCTATTATAAAATTTATAAGAATAAGCTAAAACTTATTCAGCCAACAGATATAAATATGGGAAGTTAATGTGTTTTCTTGGTCTATTTATTTATCCATAAATGTAGTGGGATGATAACTACACCGCAATACGAACTGATCTCGATCTGGGAGAAAAACCGGTCTCTACCTGGGCAAGCATACTTTATTGGAGCCCATTTTGCTGTACCACTCATTTTCCATTAATTTCATCCTATTCTGTTCCAAAAGTGGTGTGATTGCATTCCTCAAAATATCTGTTTTGCTTTTCCGCTTCAGTCACTTTTCATATGTTTTATAAGCAAAAATTAGGTAAGAAATTAAATTTAAATTAGAAGTTACACTTCACTTCAGTATTAATGTATGATTTTGGAACTTAGCTAAGAAGAAATTTTTTCTGCTTTCTAATTTGCCATAAAATCAGCATCACAGATATCTTTTTTTCAGTTCCCAAAAAAAAAAAAACTTGAAACATACATTTTTCTAGTTTCAGCAAAATTGCAACGTCATTTTTATACTCAAAAAATAGTGGAGCAAGTAATTAATTATCTGCTTTTCAAATATTTCAAAACTTATTTGAAAAAAAGCAATGGTATTGTTGAAGTTTATGCATTGGATGAAAATAGCCTTTAAGTTTTATTGATTTCAAATCATTTTATATGCTCAGTTACTCTTTTGGCTCTATTTTACTTTTGTTTATTGAAACAAATACTTTCTTTTCTTTGCTGTGTTTCTCTAAAGTAATATGTGATTAGTTGACAAGAAAGAATCAACAAATGGTGTTGTTGATTCAGAAATGTTATCAATGTTCAGCGTTGTTTGAAATGTTACTTGAAAAGTAATGATTATGTTTTAATTCATCATTTCATTTCTCCTTCCTTTCTGTTTTCAAATGAAGATTGTACTGATTACAACACTTACATTTATTTGCAAAATGTTTGAATTATACTTTTGTATAAATATCTGGGTTTTGAAGAAAGGAAGTCCGAAATTTTATGTGTTAATCGCTTGAAGTCCAATGTCACTTATTATTTTATTCTCCCTTATCAGTCTATAATTATTAAAAAAATCTTTTTCTTATCAATTTGTAATTATTAAAGATTTTCTTTTAAATTATTATAATAGGCTATTTGAGAACATCTCTGCTTGATAAATTTCTTAATATTCCATTAGGCTGTGTGAATGAAAGAACAAAAATGTTCTTTCATTTACATTATTAAAATAGAATTATTCCATACCTGATATGAGTGACTAGAAATTTTTCTAAATCATTAGAAGATTTCTCAAACTCTTTTTTACTACTTTTTTTTCACTAAAAAACTATTAAAATTATATCTCATCACTTTTTGTTATTCTTTTTTCAAAGTAACAAATAATGAATAAAAAGAAGTAGCATTCAGAAGTTATGTTTTAGAAGATCGAACGAAAATTCAACCAATACTTCATACTTTATCACTTATCAACTATTCATTTTGAAAAAGTTCACCTACTATGATAATTCATAATTAATTTAATGGATATATGATACATCACAATTTAATCCAATAATTTCCCAATAAATCAATATAAGTATTATTCAGTTGAGAACAAAATGTTCAAAATTCAATATATACTTTAGGATTGGCGCAAAAAAAAGGAAAAATGAAAGTTTCAGAGTGATAAGGAAAAGAGATAATTGCATTTCACTCCATTTCCTCTTCTGATAAACATCACTATATCACATAACATCTTCTCTCAATCACTCATCTTTTCTAGCTCATCGTTGATGAAAAGGTTTGATCTATCCCACATCGATATTTTGCTTCCCCTAACTTTGCTCTGTAAACAACTTTAGCCTATTTTATTTTGTTTTCTCTCACATAAATTTAGCTCGTTCGCACTTATAAAAATCACTTAGATCAATTATTTCTCATTTTTTGTTTTTTGCTTATTCCATCTTCAAGTGGTGCAACTCCTATAGGCCCTCTCATCATCAAACAAATCACAAAGAGAACTACTTTCAAAAAATGAAGAAATGGTAAGTATGATGATGATATAATTGTATATTTGTTTTAGTTAGTTTTAATTATTATTATTTTTTTTTTTTTTGGAGTTAATTAGCTGAAATGTTTTAATTTATTGCAATAACATTAAATCCTAACAATTAATGTAATAATAAATAAATGTGAGATTTTAACAAAATCGTTTAGCAACTTGATCATTACGGGACAAATTTAAAATTAGAAATAATTCATTTATAGTTGAACGAAACAGTTGAAATTTAAATCACCTTTTACATATTACTATATTCTTGAGATCTCTTGGGAGAGAATGACAGTAACTTGTTTAAATTTTAAATTTAATTTCATTTATCCTGTATCCTTTCCCTTATGTGTCCTATCATCCCATAACATTTACATTAGCTTCAGATGCAAGATGATGAGTAATTCGTTACGTTACACAATATCGTTCCAAGCCATCAGTACTGCTTTTTCTTTTTTTTTTTCTCTCTCTCTCTCTCTCTCTCTCTCATTTCCTCTTTTTAACCTTTAATCGTTAATTTAAGAACAAAAGTTTACTTCTAATTACGAATGACTTGGCCAAGTTCCATCATTTTGGCTTCATTCCGATTATTTTAATGTTCGATGATTTTACTCGTTGTGGTTTATTGACTTTTCATTTTAAAAAAAAGGTTAATTAAGCAACAACATTACACTATGTATAACTATGTGGAAAGAAAAAATTTCTAATCCAATGGATTTAAAATTTCAAAAACCTTATAGATATTTCAATTATTTTCTTCAGACGTTCAATAACGAATTCATGCTTAACTTGAATGCTACTTTCAATTAACCTAAACTAATGAAAGCAGTAAATCCCTAGAGATTTACAGCCGAGCAGATGGGCTTTTAATTCTTTTTGGTCCTGAAAGGCATGACGAACTTCTATTTATGAATTCTATTTCCCGAAGAAATGTTAACAAGCTTAAAGAAGCCTTTCGGTTCAGCTTAAACATTTTTTTAAGTTAGCAGAGAAAGCTCTCTGTGGTTCAAAATTTCTGCTTCATTCTTTTATTATCTCTTTTTGGTTGTTTAGATTCATTCTGTAATTTCTAAAATTTTCGGCTATGATAAGGAACGAGGAAGAGGTGGCGAACAAAAGAAAGAATGGAATAGGTGACAAATGCTTCAATGTTTTTTTAATCGCAATTGTGTTATCCGTATGCAAATTTATGCCAGTTATTATAAATTCATTACTAATCTGTGAGTTTAAGCGTACTTGCACTGCCTGAAATTGCGAACACTGCTGCATTCAGTCTGATTAGGAACCAATAAATCTTAAATTTTTAATCTCTTTTCCGATCTTTAATTTGAATGTAATTTAAACACAACCAAAGAAACAGGCATTAACTCTATGGAAAGTGGAATGAATGAATTGACATTGTATGGGCCGGATTAAATTAATAACTATTTTAATGTAAATTTAATTTTTCAATATTTTCATGCAATACCTGTGGTGAGTCATATATCATTTTGCAATCACAGTAAACTTTTTCAAACTATTAAAAATTTTTTAGAATTAGAATCAAATTTCGTGTAAGGTCTTCAAATAATATTCTTGGCTGATAATTTCACACTTTGAAACAAATATGTAACTAAAATATTTTGTGGAATTGATTAAGTGATGGAATTTTTATATTTTTAGAAAAAAGCTTTTAACCTATTTGTTTGTAAAATGGTCAGGTTACGTTTTGACGGATGGAAGTAAAATAGACGTTGCATAGCAATTGATACGGCTATACAACGATACAGGAGGACAAATATACGTGAATGAATAGTTGAATAGGACGGATTGTGGTACATTACATAGGTTTAATTGCGCTTAATTCGAGAATAATTATTCATACTAAAGCCAACAAAAGATAGAAATGAGGTTACCACTGGAAAATCTAACGAGTTATCAACCCGGAATAATCAGTCATGCATATATCCGTCGCATTGGAGTATGCATTTCCTGAAAAAGACTAACAACGCTTGCTGCACTGAATATTTCATTTTGTTGAGTAGACTGCTGATATTAAGCCATTATTTAGCCATGTGTAAGTGATTACAAAGTATTGTAGCCAAATTTTAGAGTAATTTGACTGTTTTTGTCGTTTCAAATATTAAACTTCTCATTTCATTCTAACTGAAACATTGTAAGGTCAATATTCTGATATTATTCTTCCATCTCAAATCTTTGAAAATAATTCAAATGAAATGCTATCCTACTTGTATTGAAATAATAAAATAGAAACAGAAGGTAACAGAACGAACACATATGTTAGCAACGGGCGATCATCAAATAGTAATTTAAAGTATAATTGAAGTAGTTTGATTGCTTTCAGCATTATATTACCTTTTGGCTTTTATCTCACAGTAATCCTTGAAATGAGCTTTTAGCTTCCATATTATTTTTCTGAGTTTTGCACTCACTTTAAAGTTTTGAGTATTACTGAACTATATTTTAGAGTAACTTCATCGATCCAATTCTTCCTGAGTTTTTTTTTTTTTGTTTTGTTTTGCTTTCAAATCAATTTGGAAGCATGAAATAAGTATTATTAAATGACTGTTACGCTTTTTTACTATAGATTAGAATCATAATTTACCGAGAATTAGTATTGAATTAATGTTCTATTAGAACAACATTATTGAAAATTAAGTAATTGGAAATTAAATTTTGTCAGATGGAAATTCATTTCCAAAAGTAATCAATAAATGTTGTCTGTAGAAGTCTTACCTCGAATAAAATTGAACCATTGTACTCTCCTTTTGCCCCATTAATTAACTTAAGATTAACTCAATGATATCCTATCTTTTTTTCTTACATTTACTTGGCTCATATGCAAAAATATCACCTTTCTGACATAAAATCAATACAGATTTGAAGAAAGAAGGAGTAAATGAGCCTATCAATGAGTAACATTTCATTACAACAAACTTAACACACAGAGATTCAAGTCCATGTCCATGTCCAAGTCCAAGTCCAAGTCCATGTCCAAGTCCAAGTCCATGTCCATGTCCATGTCCAAGTCCAAGTTCAGGTCCAGTCTGTCCGTCCTAATCATTCATTCCTCTGTTTTATAACTAATCATTGAATTGAATTGAATATCTGTGAAGCAGCTGCTGCTTCTTACTCCTTCCTCTGCCACCAATTCGGCCCATCCTTCTCCTCTTGGCTTGGCTTTCTTCATCGTTTCATCTTTCCTCCACGAAATTCATCGCTATCATCTATCTATCTACCTGCACAGTACGGACAGACTGGCATATCTTCTCTCTCTCTCTTTGTCTATTCTCTTACATGTACCACTAAACAAACCACTATCAAACTTTTTTCTTTCTTTCTCTCTCCCTTTCTCTCTCCTTCCTACATTAACCATCCATCCATCCTTCCATTCATTCATTTCAAACTCAAACATCCCTTTTCTTTCCCTTTCCTTTTCTTTCCTTTCCAAATTAGATAAAGTCATAAAATGAAAAAAAAACCTTTTTTTTCATTCTTTTCTTCACATTTTTCTCATCTCTTAATTACTCATTCATTCCCATTTCTTTCCTCTTTTCATCTTAGTCAATTTTATGTCAGTTAAGTTAGGCTTTATTGTCAATACATTCATCTTTTTGTCACCAGATTCTGTGACAACGATCCTATTCTCTCCAATTTCAAAGCATCATTTACTCTTTCTTTCAGATAAGTTTATTTCTTTTGCCAGTTTACCCTATTTACTCTTTTTGTCCTTTTCATTTTACCTCATTTCCCTCGTATTTTACCTGTTTTGTAATAATTTAATGTTAATTTTTTCGGATCTCTGCTTGGAAATATTTTTATATATGAAATAGAAATTAAATTTGCTATAAATAATTAATAATGTGCTAATTTTACTCGTCCTTTTCGATGTTGAATATTTATACGATGAATGATAATTAATTGATGATAACTCCGAGAAATTTGTCAGACTCCTCAGAATAATTAGCAGCTGCTTTGAGATTATCTAGTAACACATTAATTAATAAAAACTATTTTTTATGAGAATAGCTTAAAAATATTTCTTAAGTACAGCAAAAAGATGAAATGTAACTACATCAATTCGTTACCAGCAGCGCAGATGTCATAGTTAATAATAAATAAATGTTATGGGAAGTAATGATCCAAATAGAATAAGGTGAGATGTGGAATGCGAAGATGTTGCTAAATATTGCATTTGAAGTTTAGTATCTCAAATAGCCATAATAGAGAAGGAAGTGAAAATAGGGAATAAGTGAAAGATAAAATTTTATAATTTACTAATCAATTTCATACGCAAATAAATTGCTTTAAAGTTTTTCTCATTAAGAAAAGGTAAGAAAGAATAAATTGAAATGCATTAGATATCATCTGAAATGTCTTATCGACTTATGTCAAATGTAATTAATGTATGTGATTCTAATTGTGGTCAACAAACTCTGATAGAAAAATTTTTGCAAGGATAAAAGATAAATAAGTTAGAGTTTCTGGATGGATAGACTAATGAATGGAATTATTTGAATGGATCGGAAGACTTTGCTCTGCAGGCTCTTTTTTAGTGGTAATGGAAAGGAGAGCAGTTGAGTACTGTTTGAGAATCAATTCCCTTATTTTAGCTTCTTTTTGTGCCATTTTTCAAATTTCTTAAAGCATATGAAATGCGCAGATGGTTTTGAGCAGACTTATCAGGCCTTACTTAGTGCTATCTTGCTTTAGGCCTGGTAGTATAATCACTTTATGAACGGATAATCCTTCCCTCTTTGCATAATTACGTTCTACTAAAGTCTCTGGCCTCATCAATCTTCTGCATTACTCTCTATGCCCTATGTGTGTATGTGTGTATGTGTGTGTGTATGTATGTATGTATGTATGTATGTGTAACCAGTTAAATTCATCAGATATTCTTCACAGCCTTGAAGCGTTTATTTTCATTGAAGCCTTTTTCAGACCTTTAGATATAAGCTCAATTGTCTTAGGCCCAAGCCTAAGCTCAGGCCTTTGTATTAGTTGAGTAGTTAAGTTAAACGCCCAAATTAATTTCACAAACAATTCTACCATTACACCCCAATATATTTCTATAATCAGTTAGAATGATTCCATTATACTTCCACCCATTCATTTCCTCGGAACATTTTTCCGTCCATAATTGCCAGTAGGCCAAGTTCAATGCACTTTTTTACTTATTTGCACAGATCGCTTGGCTCTTCTAATATTGGTCTGTCTATCTGTACATATGTATGTATGTTTGTATGTGTGTGTGTGTGTGTGTGTGTGTTACGTGAATGTATGTGTGTGTGTGTGTTACGTGAATGTATCACAAATTTTCACGTAATATTTGTTGTTGAGCGACTATCCTCTTTGCTTCCAGAATTTCAATTTTGAAATTGTAATTTGTGCAAAAGCTATATGATATGAAATTACTGCAGAATGTTACCGTTCGTTACCTCTTCAATTGTTCTTACGCTACAGTGTTAGTATTACGGTGTCCTGACAACACCTGAAAGATAACTGCTACTTACTGTACTTTTTTTAGTATCACCCCATTTTACATCCCATGATAAGTGAGTAATGATATAGTGATTCAGTGATAATATGATATGGCAAATCAGTTATAGTACTGGCGATAGTATGATAATATATATGGCGATGTAACGGTGGTTAAATTTGAAGAAGGCTAAGGAATAATAAAGTTTTAAAAAACATGTTAAATTAGCCAGATATTGACATAATACGGATTGTAGTGAATGTTATTTGTGTTTATACAAATAAACATGAGTAGTAGATATGCAACGCAGTTAAGATTTATTCGAACTTTTAAATGAGATAAGGATTACTGAAGGTAGCAGTCGCTGTTAACATGGAAAAAAATTTTTATCTCTATATTTTATGAAATTTCAAAATCTGTGTATGTTTCAGTCCAAACGCACCTCCAAGTCGGATAACGGTTGTTGCGGAAGAATCGGAAATGCCGACAACGATAATGCCACCAGCACAAATTGAAGATGCTCAAAATGCAGCTGCAGTTAGTAGTCCTCCTCTTCCAGCACTTGTTAAGTTAGTTTAATTCTATATTTATGTAAGACTCGAAAGAATGGGCTATTTGGAAGTTTGCCGTGAAATGTTTATTACATATCAGTGAGACAGCTTGTTTGCACGTTACGTATAAGAATGTAAACAGCTCGTCTTTACGTACCATCATTACCTTTTGGTCTTCATGTCATCGTACGTCACAGAGATTGTATAAGACTCTATGACACTATCGATAACATTATAACGAGACTACTCATGTTTGAAATCCGTATATAAATTTGAGCATAACTGATCATTTCAGAAGGGTAGAAAATGAATTAACAGATAATCCGTTTCGCCCAGAAGAATCTCTGTTTCATGAGGTTGATCCTATCGTCGAAGCATACAAAAGAAAGCCTTATCCACCATCGCTGCCCGGTTCGCAAAATACAACACCTGTGAGAAGCGGTAGTCAAACATATTTAAACGGTACGTTCATTGTTGCTTGTCTTCACATATAAATTTAGAAAATTTAAGATTTTAGGGTGCATTATTGATCGCAGTAAGCATTATTAGCTGTTGTTTAATTATAGATTTTGAAGCTGTTTCTGGAAAACTACTTTGCTTTGTATGGCTGAAAAGCTTTATCAAAATCGACAGTTAAAGTACTCAACAAAAATCCACTGTTAAAAAAGGATAACTCAGTACTAATACGTAGATATGATTTAACAAATATTAGAATGTATAAAATGTAAGAATTTTTTTGACAGAGGTTAAAACAATAGAAACTAAAATCTTAATTACTTAGGAAATTGAAAAAGTTCAGAAATAACTTCGGCTACTATATAACTAGATTTTATGGACTGTTTAAATCAGATGTTTTTTAGAGTTTTTGTTTCTGATTTCTTTATAACTAATTTCTCTTTTCCTCCTTACTGTTTTTTTTGACGTTATGAGTTGTAGTGTGCAGCATTTTTAGTAGCTATCTTAAGAATTTATTGGGCTTTTCAGAACTACATACTTTTATCACTTAATTTGTGCTTGTATGTATACACAGATTGAAAAATATCTTAGATTCAGGCATTTCACCATCATCATTAGTGCCAAATAAAGGAATGGAGCCTGAAGTGACAGGTACAACACCGTTGATGAATATTAATGATCGAGTTGGTTTGGAAGATGGTATGGCTGATTTGCCAAAAGCTCGACAAGTGGAGTGTGTGCGCATCGAAAAAAAGAAGTGCGGTTGTTGTAATCTACAGTAGGCTTATTATTATTACATTACAAGTTTAACTGTAATATTATTCAACTCATCGATCATGATTTCGACCACCACTGCCTTAATAATTGGGTTGAGTTTTGCTTGTCAAATTATGGTGCTTGAATGCATTCAAACCATCCAAGAAATTCATGGGCCACAATGTATGCTAAAGGGATGCAAAGATTTTAATCCCTCCATCACCTGAGGTCTTGTAAATGATAATTATTTTCAATGATAAGATGTAGTTCTATGGTGTGCTGAGTTAAAGAGGTTTGTGGTGGTACAGTGTTGTGATGGACCCAAAGATATTAAAAAATTTTCTTTTCCATTTTTTTGCCCTTATCGACAGAAAAATTCCTATAATATGTGAAGTTTAATGGCAAATTTAATAGAAATTTAAGTTTCCGTTGATTATGGTGGCAATGTTCATTTTCCATTGCTACTACAGAGTTATTTGCATTCGCTTCTTCTGTTACTGCTGGGAATGATCTCAATTAAACGATTTAAGATATGAAAAAACTTAGTTTTTTCTTCGTTTCTCAAGTTTTGGGGTAGAATTGCATTGTAAATAATCTTTTTTTGCATATTTTTGGCACAAAACCTCTAAAAAGCCTTCTTCTATCATCTTCACACTGGTTTCCGCAAGATTCATTAGGATTTCTGAAGTTTCCAGTATGAATTTTCTGGGTTATATAAAGCATTTTTTATAATAAGGCTTAGATTTGTTATCAAAAGAAAGAATGAGACTTTTCACTGGAAAATGTTTCGAAAATTTTTGATTTAAAAGAATCTCGGGCATGTATTTAGCATGATAAACAAAAATTGCATTGCTGTTTTTGGATTGTAAACCGCTTTCAGCTTGCTCGCCTGAGTCGAAAAACGATTGACAGATATTAGGAAGCTTTGGCTTATTATATTAAACACTGCTGACAAATAGTTGGAAAAATTTTCTATCACCAAGCATATAATAACATTGATTTTTTCCATGAAAAATCAATGTTATTATATTTTAGTGTTAGAAGTATAAGCTTTAGTTTTCAAAGCTCTCCATTGCTTCCCCTCAAAGACTGTGTTTCATTTTTGTCTTTTTTTGTAGCGTTTTGAATACTGGAATATTAGTAACTGCCTCTTCTGTTAGTGGTGTGAGTACATATCAGACATGACTATTACAATGGGCTCTTGAATCAAAATGCTAGTTAATAAAACTTTTCATATACATGTGCAGTTTTTTTCACCAGTAAAATTTGTTTCACTTTTTAGTTTTATTTTTTGAAAATTTAGGAAGCGCACATCAATGAAGGGACTGTTATTTATCAAATAGTGTCAGCAAGGCAATTTACCCCAGCTTGGCTTTAATTATTGTGTTTGTGCCAAAAATATCGCCGAAGAATATGCAATATGAAAAAGAAATGAGTGAATTCTAAGTTAGCGCTTCTTCTTTGTATTTTTATTTGGAAATTGATCGCTTATCCCACGGTTGATCTCCATGTGGTTTCATTACTAATCATTATTGATCGGGCTGACAGATTCGAGGTCGTAAATTCGAATTAGATTTGTATGAAATTTACGATGTTTTGCTACTTATCCTCTGTCGCCCGCACTTCTTTCTTTGATAATTACTAATTTTTTTTATGATTTTTGGTTCTTTTTTTTTGTCAACAGTGTGTTTGTAGCTTGTCTAGCCTATCCTGTCTTTTTATAAGTTCAGGTGACTTTTAATAAGTGGCTTAGAACTTTTACGACTCAATTATCTTATGACCTCCATCCATTATGAAAGTAAGGTCGAGAGAGTTCCAAGCAACTGGTTGATAATAGTCATCCATAGAGCAGAATGGAAGTAAAGCCTGGAAAAAACTTGAAAAATGCCTCGGAATCATTTTATTAACAGCGCTTCCCTCTTTTTATGATTGATTAGTTTCTATTAGCAGATATTTTTAATCTAAAGTCCAAATTCAATTTTAATGTAATATCAGTGATCGAAGTTTAAATAACATAAATTTACTTGTGATTTGTTAGGTAAGGAACAAGTCACAAATATTACTTGTGGTTTCTTTGAACTCTGTTAAAATTTTTGTAGTAATAAATTTTCTCCTTCTTTGCAAAAACTTGTGCTTAAAACCTCTGGAATTGCTTTACCGATAAATTGAGAATTTTTTCCATTCTCTTATCTATTTAATAACATAATGTTCTGAAAACATAATATTTTCAGAGATCTAGATTTCATGAACTTATTAATTTTTTTGAATACCGTCTTCGATCACTGATATTTGTAATATTTGCATTGTTGTAATTGAAATTTATTAGTTATGGCCTGTTGGGTATTTCACCTTCATCTATTATTCTTTTTATCTTTACTGTACAATATATAACAGTACGTTCATGACTATTTCAACCGTATATAGGTTATGCCGATTGTATCAAAATTTCAAAAATTTCATGGGTATTTCTTTTTTTATTATTTCCATATTTTCTCTTAGGGATCATATGAAACTCGATGTCATCTGATCTTCAAACTTTTTACTATGAAAAAGGTCTGTACTTCTATTTTCCATTTGTTTCTTGTTCTTTTAAGTGTCATTAATTACAAAAGAAAAGTTTGATAGTTAAGTGGATTTGATTACTTCCTGAACAAAAAAGGAAATTATTCGATTATCATTATGACCTTAGCGTTGCTGTTATCTACAAAGTGAGTGCAAATGAGAAAAGAGACGAATCTCGAATGTGAACCAAATAGATGCATTTCATATGTCACCACCACCATCAGCGCCATTGCAACAAATAAATGTATTCTTTGAGCTCTATTGCGCCTTATTTTTCTTTCATCATTGTTTTATACTGTTTTATTTTTTTTTTTGCTGCCTTTCTGTAGTGAAATTTGCAAAAACGATGTGTTATGAATGAATTATAGGAGGAAAAGAATGAGAGGAAAATGATTTGTTTTCAGGAAGGAAAGTGGAAAGCGACAAGTTAATTTTTCACATCATTTTCATTATTGCGCATTGCTTTGTGAGCTTTTGATGTTTGACAAAAATCTGTTTTGTAAGTGTGTGCCGGCGTTTATTTAACTGAAAAGATTGCGCTTTGGCTTTCGTCTTAATTCGTATCATCATTTTTAATAGTATTTTCTTCTTCCAAATATACTCTCAGTTTAAATTCATTTGAAACTTCCCACATCAGTTTATAACAAGTTCTGCAAATATTTTCATTGCAAATTCAGATAAAATTTAGTAAATCTGAATTTTTGTCGAAATGCACATGAAACAAAGCTATGGCGCATGCATGTGTATGTGCTGGTCTCAGCTACCGGTGAGCAACGTTTTTTGCTTCCATTATTTTTTTCGCGTTTCCTTCGATTTTAATATTTTATTGTTATAATTGATAAATATATTTGTGCAATGCTTTCATACATAAAGTTATTTTCAAGTTATGTAACATATCCACACGTATCCACGTCACTTCGCAGAAACGTATGAGACAATTATTCATAGCAGTCATTTACAAATTAATGTTATAGTGAGTGTATCAGTAACAGTCAGACGAGAGTGTCAAAATGGACGCTTGAAATGGATAGCAAGGCTAACACTCGGTTTGTGATGCACATAACATTTGTGTTCCACCATTACTGCTCTGTACTGGAACTGTAGTGGACAACAGGTAATAAAGAAAGTGTTATGGAAGAAATAAAAGATTTAGTATCCTCAAGGGGCTATGTGGGCGCACTTTAACTTACAGTGCCATTTATAAAGCAAGGTAATTTGAAAAAATCTCATTGATGTTACATAAACTAAATTCCGGAATTCAAGTTTCCATGATGCTTTATCAGAGATATATGTGATAATAACGTGGTATTTATATCGTGCTTCATTCCCGACCTGGTATTATATGTTGGGCAACTTGAACACATTACATTTTAGAATAAGACATTAAATTATTCTAATGTCTGAAATAAGTCAAACGATACATATGAAAATGTCTCTAATCCCATCATCACAAAAAATCAAAATTTGTATCATCTAAGTGCATAGTGACATTTAATTGGTAGTATATGTATGTATATTCGATAGTTGAAAGAATAAGAATGATATAGATTGTTTGAGAAAATTGTCAATTTGAGCTGACGTTCTGTCCTTTTCTGCTTGTTATTTGTTTAAGAGTGAATAATTAAAAAGAGAAGATAATTAGGTTGTATTTGTGTCTATTACATTATGTGACGACATCTGAAGTCATTGGGGCATAAAACTTTAGTATTATATTTCGGAAATTTTTCGTAAAATTTAATATTGGGATATTTTGCATTAAATGTTTAAAAAAAATTAATTATTATGGAAAAGATTAATTTCACCTTTCTATCTTATTTCTGCTTTATGGTCTTAATTCCTTTCTCTCTACCTTCCATTGTTTCTGGAAGTTTCCCGATAATGTCACTGAAGTTAGAACTTTAGTATATTTATTGCATTGCTTAGCTAAATGAGTTTAAGACTTATAAATGGATGATGCTTTCGATCTTAATGTCTAAACATAATGAAAGTAGTGAAATTACCTGGAATAAAATAGGATATCAAAGAGAAATGAACTCATTATTCATAACTATTATTAATTTATTAAACTCATTTTTTCCATTTTTTTTTGGTTTTTTTAAAAATTTCCTTGAATTTAGAGAATATTATATTGATATCTTATAATTTATATATGCTAAATTAATTTTTATCTAAATGATAACATTACAGAAATAGTTGAATTGAATTTACAATTATTAATTTAGAAAATATTTTTGTTTTCTCTCAAAAAAACTTTTTAAATCAATGTTTATGATCAAAAATAGTTACAATTGTCTATATAATAACTTTTATGCACTTTTTTTTATAAGGCCAATTGAAGTGGCATAGTTAACACTTATTCAGACGTTCTCGATCAGTATTCCCGATTTTGAACTTTGCACAGGAGTAAAGCAACCTGTGAAATAAAATGAAACCTTCTTTATGGAACCATGTAGTTTAATAGTGTCATCTCGAGATTGAAAAAGATATTTTGATAAAATTTTCAGCAAAATAGTCCAAAAAAACATTTTTAATTTTTATAAAAATAAACATATGTACCCCTAAAATCAATTTATGACTAATTTTGAATAGATTTGGAAACCATTTTGAAAATTCTAAGATAAGAAATATCTTTGAGATTAGAAATTCTGACTATGACCGTCTTTGACATTATATATGTCATTTGAGAAAAAACTTGTCATTAAAATAGAAAAATTTTTTTCTCCTTTCACAAATTATCAGTTCTAACAAAAGTGTTAAAACCTTTATTAACTTTAAAGCTATTTCATAGATTACGTAAAAGGTTGACTATCATCTGATGAAATGATAGAGTTTCCAAGACTTTTGTGTTGGCATTTACGAAAGTTATCATATGGTTCCAGAGTAACAATACCTGATAAAAGTATGGGATAGATCTATAAAATTAAGAATAATACCTGATGAAGGTATTAGGGTAGATCTAAAAGTAAATAATTTGTGATAAAAATATTACGTGTGATCCATAATTTATGATAAAAGATCAGGTATGAATCAAAAATTCTCCATCACCGAATTTTGCATCACTAAATTTAATGTAGCTATCTGAAGTTCAGTAAAATCAGACCTTTGTTATTATTAACTTATTACAGTATTGTGTTATAATTCAAACTGGTAACTAATTTATTTCTTTTTACACTTCGATTAATTTATTTCAACCAAGTTTGGTTATTCAGTACTGTTATATTTATAACACAATTAATTATCAATTCTTATTCAAAAAGTCTTCATAGAATGTTTCTAAAGTTTAGTCTTTTTCGTTACACACAAATTCTATTTGTCCATTTATCACTTTCGTAGTTATTTATATCTCAGTGAAAGATAGATCTTAGATATAAATAATTTTGAAATTTGGTTGCAATTAAGCATATAATAATACAACACGAGTTTCTCTCTATCGATTTCTCAAGACCTATCGGATTCAGATTCTTTTCTGGCATCATCTATGTAAAATGTTTGTTGTTGACCGAATGTGAAATACTTTTGTGTAACAGTCTTAATTTTATAATTTTACAAATTTAGATATGGGTTTTTGATAATTATTTGTCTTTTGCTGCGCTTTCAATTTATGGAAAAAAAGCTACAGCAGACAGCAAACAGTTTGAAAAATATTTTAGAAATTTTAATTTTAAATATATTCAGTATTTTTAGGAATAACATTACTTTGAAAGGTAATGTTATAATAACTTAACTCTTCAATTTGCAAAATGCATTTTTATGAAAATGAGATGAAATTTGAATAAAAATTAAAAATTTATCCCTGATTTATCACTTCAGGGATTGATCAAAAATATTTTCCCGTAATATATATCATTCCATTATTGATATTTTAGGCGTTTATTCGACGATTAATTCATAACAAATAAAAATAATAAATTCTAAAACGATTGTTTATATACATTTTACCCATTGCTTTAATGAGTCGTACGGCCTTTCCCCAAACACTTAATTTCAAAGTGGGCTCTTCCAAAGCTTTGCGGAAAATATTTGGCAGCAGATTTTTCATTGTAGTATTTTCAAAATTTCAACAAATCTGCGAAATACGTCTTCTAAAACTTTCCCTTTCATAATAAACTTTCACCTAAATAATTTTAAGCTAAAACAATCAACTCTTTAATTCTATCTTGGTCAAGAATTAAATGTAACTAATTTGTGATCATTAAAGATCTTAACTGATCAGTCATTTTTTGCTTTATTGAATTTTCCACCAGAAGAATCTGTTGCAGAAATATGTTAGTTATGAGAAATAGTTGATGAAATGCAATTATCGAGCAATTCATGGAAGACTTTTTGTATAAAAGATATGATAAAAAAATGAGAACAGAACCATTAAATGTCAACTTTTTTCCGTTTTTCATTTAAATTTAATTGTTAGTTCATTTTCGTACTTCATGTTTTGTGGTGAAAAACGCAATTCTAAAGATTATTTCAAAATAATACTTTGTCTGAAATATAGATGTATCTCAGATAACCTTTGATCTTATTTTTCTGGATCGATTTTTTTCACTCCAATTTGCAAAAAAAGGACAAAAACATGAAGGACTGTTACAAGAAGATTTTAGTTGTATTCCAGAAAAATGATAAAACATTTCGCCTTGTTTTGAAATTAAAAATAGTAAAGATTACTATTTTTTTAAGAAGTGTGAATGAACTTTCTTTCACTTCTAAAGCAAGAAATTTCGAGATGATTGAAAGTTCTCATAGTTTGCACTTTTACTTTATTACATCTTTTCCCTCAAAATTTGTCAACTGTGCCCAAATAATCGTCTTAAACTTGAACAAACTTGAGAAGTAATTAACCAAACTTTACATTTTACCATATTCTTCATCATTTCATCATCATATTTCGTTACATTTCACTTGCAACGAAATATGATGAAAAATTTCTGATATGAAAATAAACTTCTGAAAAATTTAGTTTTTTTGTTAAATTTCATAAAAATAAAGTTTTTTTGTGATTGGCTTTCTTCTTTCAAGATCTAAGAAGAATAATTCTGAAAAAAACTGCTTTACTTTTTAAATGATTTACATACATTCTGGATAGGTCATAAAATTAACAAACTTATTTTTTGAATACTCAAAAGCTTTTCATACAATTAACTTACTAGTATGTTCCCATTCTCATCATTAGCGCATTTTTCAAATATATCTGAAAGGAAGTCGCTTTTGTCATAACACAACCATTGCTAATGAATTATTCAATGAAAAAGTGAAATTTGCTGAAAAACACATTTTGAGTAATTTTTTTAACAAGAAAAGCAGAATTTTTGCTTTTTTTCCCTAATTTTTGCCTTGTCTAACCAGCGTTGGTTTTTTTTTTCGAAGTTCATTTTGCATTTTGAAAGAAGATAGATGAATATTCTCATTCATTTATCTCTCCTTTAAAAAAAAAAATTCTGAATGATATATATTTGAGAATCTAAATTTTAAATTTTCTTTTCATTTTTTTGCAGCTTACTAAATGACTAAGCTAAGTTTCTGGATTACGATTAATACATTGAAATGTGAAATAAAAGTATAGTTTAATCAAGTTGAGTGAACTATATCAGGTCAAATTAAATTAGTCATTATTATTGACATTTGGATGTGAGTGATGCTAATTAATTCATTTTATTTAAAGTATTGCCAGTCTGAAGTGATGCAAGAGTAAATTCTAAATAGATTTTTTAAGTCCTAAAAAAGATATTTTTTTCGAATGAAATACGTGATATGAGATTATCATTTTCCACCAAAATTTCTATTCTACAAATTTCTCTTCTATAAAATTTTTTATCGTTGTTATAAATAATGTGATTTAATTCCAGATATTTCCTCAAAGACTACGTATTACTGTAAATGCAAACAGTACTTTCAAGCAAGAAATTATGTATGGAATTTCAAGTTTATGATTACGGTGACTTCTTTTCGGATTCAGGAATACTTCTCTTTTTCAAAAATGTTTTTCTTTTTTTTTTGACGTCCACGATTTTCCTTTTTGCAGTCGGTGGATATTTTGAAAAAAAAAACTTTTAACGTCTTATCATTTCGTTTTTTATTTTAGTCTGAGATTTTAAAAATAAACCATCGGTCAAAAGAAGAAAATGAGAAGCAAAAAGTGAAATGCCTTTATTAACTGTCACTTGAAAGGATTTTAGATTGAAGATTTTCAGGATTTTATTCTAAATTTACTCTCAGTAATTTCCTTCTCTTTTCTATTTTTCTCATTTCTCTTCCTTTTCAGGTTTTTATAAATGAAGATAATTTGGTGAAGTAAGAGAAAATGAAAGCAAAAAGGCAATATGATTTTAAGCCTTTATTCCACACTAAATGTGCTATATACTGAATGCGCCATGCTTTGGCGCATTCAGTATATAGCTAAGCTCTTAATTGTTGTGTGCTTTTGAAAGAGATTGAATTTGAAGGCGATGAGGAATAATGTTGGCCACAGACAATAATAACAAAGTCTGATGTATTTGGCTATCCGCAAAACAAATACAAATTTGCATCGAGCGTTTTCATGCTTTCCTCTTTCCCTTCTTCAGCTGCATTTACCGGTATATAAATCAATTAAAAACAATTTCAACTCAGAAAGGTAAGAGCTTAAATAAAAATACTATAACCTCATTCTTCGTTCGTTCTGAAAAATTAATTTCATTTTCTGATCAATTTAAACTTTCATTGAATGAAAGAAATTTCAAAGATTAATGCCCAAGTGTTTAGAAAGAATTCACAAAAATCCGACAACATATGGCAATACAAAATAGAATGAACCATAACGATGACATTTTTAAGTTAATGTAAAAAGCATTCAAAGGAAATCTTCAATTTTAGCAGCACCATTTTGCCGTTATTATCGAAAATCCATAAAATGCGCTGCAGTCTTACAAGAGGAGGTAAATTTGAAGAAGAGAAAAATGAAAGGAAAGAGGGAGAGAAAAGAGAAGAGAGAGAGAGAGGTCGTTGTAGTGAATGTAATTCAATCTGTTTTTTTTTTTTTTTTTTTCCATTCGAATTGCAAACGGCTATTTCCATTTATTTCCCTACAAAGAAAATTTTCATTCAAGCTAAATATGAACTAAACTAAACACAATGCTTTATAGATTATTTCACATTCATCAAAAAGCATAAACAACAAATGTGGTAGATAAAGGGAAAGAGAGAGAGAAAGAAAAAGAAGACATATTCCGCCTGGCAGGTTTTATATCAACACAAACAAACAAATGAATGGATCATTTTAATTTATAGCTAAGTCAAAGTTATTTTAAAAGTTATTTCCAAGATGTTAGATGGTTTATTCCCGAGATAATATGTTTTTGTCTTTTCTTTCTTTTTTATTTTCATCAGCATGTCACCTACTAAAATTTATACTGCAGTAAGCTTTTTTATTTTTGCTATAACTAAATATGTTTTGCTTTCAAATACATTGGAGCTAATTTTTGTAGTCATACGATTGCCCACCATAAATTGTAATCTCCACTTCTTAATGACTTTCCTCAGGGTTCCCACAAACAATTTTTATTCTATTTTTATGATCAATGCTTTATAAAAGTTTTATTTTTTTTCACAATAAAAAATTTTTAATATTTTCTGAGCTTTTTTTTGTTAATTTCGAATTTATTTCATTAGAGAATGTTATATACCATTCCTATCATTTAATGATTACTTAAAAGTTAGAAATGCTTGCAAGCAATTCAATTTAATTCTTTGCCCTACTAATATATGATAGCCTTTTAACTCTTATCATATATGTATATTAAAGCAAGCCATAACTTAGGCAATACTCTCCTAAGCTTAAGCACATACTTCTATTCCCTTATTCTTTCTTTTTTTTGTTTCATTTCCTGTTCATAACAAATTTAAAAGACAAAATGAGTAGCGGATAACATCGTTTCTTTCCACTCACCAAAACATATTTCCGCCTTTTCCCAACGATCAAATGACGGTTGCAATTCGAATTTGTTCAACAAATAATGAAAATTATCGTACTGCTTCGCTTTTCTATCATTTTCATTTTATTTCCTTGAACAAAATAGCAAATATTTGTATGTTGATGTTATGTACGCAACATATTAAAATAATTGTTTAGTAATAAATATCATTAGCTATTTCATTTCATTTCAGTAGCATTTTTTTTCCACTTACTTTTCATAAAAAGATTATCTGTTAATTCATTACTTTTAATATGCTTCTATCTATTGCTGCAAAATTTCCAGTTTTTTGAAAATTTTCATTAATTTATCCTTTCTTTCCTCCTGGCCATTCTCCTCATATTTTATCTCATTACTAATATTTAACGAAATGGAAAAGGCTAAGGAAAGGAAGTTAAATGTTTCAAATAATATTTTTATTTTTTTAAATGTTTGTTTTTTTAATTTCAAATAATATTAATACTAAAAAAAATTTTTTTTTTTAAATGAAATGTTTCAAATAATAATATTTTTGTTTGAACCATAAAATTATCATTTCGAAAGTGTGGAAATTTTTAAATTGTTTTACTGTCCTTTCGATTGTTCTGCTTTTTTTTTTACTTTTTTTTTACTCATTCTTTTTAACCTGACAACTTTTATCATTAGCAAATACTAGCTTCTATACATTTTCCGAAATTTCAATTGAAATGTTTAGCAAACATTACGAAACATTTGAAAGACTTATTTCTATTCAACTCGTTGACAATTTGAATTGTATCAAACTCAATCAGATGAATTTTTTTTCTTGGGAAAATATTTTACTCTTTCATTACTTATATAAAAGATATGTTTTCGAAATAATGAGAAATAATGTATACTTTGTTTTCTCATAACATAACACAAGAAGCTACACTGATTAATCCAAACTTGAAAAGGTTCAAAATACCTTAATTACATTTTTAAATATTTATTACTTACCATCGTCATCACAACTGAATAATTTGAAAAGCGAAAATAGTTTCGATAAGCGATTAAACATTTGATAAATGATTTTCACATCGGAATTTGATCATTTAAAATCAAATGATCTAGTTCGAATCATTAATGGCTTAATCAACTCATGGATTGAAATTAATGTTGTCAAGTCTGTTATTGAAGAGGTGGACATCATTTCATGTTGACAACAAAATGAATTTTCAAAATCCATCAAGAAGTACTACTTCTCTTTAAAGAAGAGAATTAGGGAGATATTCGGTTATTTGCTTTTCCACTCTCATTGAAGCGTTTCTCTACCCAGTTCCATCTTCTTCATTCATTATTATATTCATCTCATCAACAGAAAGTTGATTATATGATGAAATTCAAGGATTGTTTCAGTGTTGCCTGCCGTTTCCGTTACAAATTAATTTAAGAATTCAAATCTTATAACTGATAAAAGCAACGTAAATAGATAAAGCAGTAAATTATTAAACCATACGTTTAATAATTTACACTCACGCCACGTATATGCATCTTATTGATTATGATTAGTTGACTTAAATTTATAACAGAATAATCGATAAATTATAGTTGTTAAAGCAAAATGTTAAATAAGGAAAAATGAATTTTAGAAAAAATAATAGAATGGCATTTTTGGGTCAGTTAACAGCTAATGTGCAAGCCCAGTTGAACAATGTGAAGCCACAGCTAAATTCTGTGCTTCAAACTGCAACTCGTGCTCGGGATAATCTGGCACCAATTTTAAACCGTGCTACTGCTCAACTCGATAATCTTGGCAAGATCTTACAGGTGAATGTCGTAATCTATGAATTGGTTTTATATGCCAGAACAAACTTATCATAGAAATTACCATCAGAAAAAATAATAATAAAATTATCACTAGATGTTTAACATATTAGTCAATTAATTCATTTGATACATCGCTTTTCAATTTAACTTTTCCTTTTTTATCTAAGTGTTTAAATAATTCATCCAAGAAGTCTCAAATACAATCAGTTTACAGGTAACTGGAGATCGTAAACAATCACCTATTGATATACTCTCAACAATTACAACTTTCGATAGTACGCTTGAGCATTCAGAAATTAGGTGCCGTGTATTGTTTTCATTGTTTTCAAATAATAACAAATGAAAAATTAGAAATTGAGTTTTTCAAATGATAACTTAGTGAATATCGAAGTTCAAAAGTAGATAGCTTTATAAAAGTAGAACCTCTCGAATGACAATTAATAGTTTGTTGGAACAATTAATGCTTACTAACCTTAAAAAAACCTTCTAGCAAATAATTACGATTGATAAAAAGTATTGATATGATAAGCTAACAATGGTTTCCTTATTTCAGAATAAATTATCCGATGAATGGTGAGACACGACTAAAGAATGCGGGTGACAGTCTGCAACTGCAACTTGATTCATCAAATAGGGCCGAACTGTCGGCAAGTCATTTGGGTGAAGAACGATATGTTCTGGAGACTGTGTATTTCCACTGGGGCACGGAACCTATGAATGGGAGTGAACATACTATTGGCGGAGTGGGTTATGCGGGAGAGATACAATTCATTCATCGGAACACGAGATTCCCGAATCTAGAGATGGCATTTAAGGAAGCAAATGGAATACTGGGTGTGGCTGTATTGCTAAATGTTAGCTTATGTAATCATATTTCAACAGTTATTTATTAAAACGAATAAAGTTCATAAGTAGTAAAGAAAGTTTGTTCTGAACTGTAGCATCAAAGCCTGGCCAAAGTATTTCCCTGATCTGCTTGAAAATTTGAAATATTACTGCAATTTTTTTTTAACATCATCAAATTAGGATTCTATTAAGGTGAGAGTTAGTAATTAATTATTGAAAAGCTGAATTGATATAATATTGCCATTCAGATCGTTAAATATTCTGTCCTATCTAAAATATATTTTTTAGGAATCGCATGACGACAATCCAACATTTTCAACAATAATTGATGGCATAAAGCAGGTGGTTTATAAAGGTAGTGAATGTGCGATTTACGGTGTCAATTTGCCTCATATGTTGCCTTCTTCAGGTATATCTTTTTTTTCTTTGAATCACTTTAACCATTCTATAGAATTTTTCATTAGTTATTACACCTATGATAACATACACTGAAAAATGAACGTGAAATGTAAAAGCTAGTTACTGATTTCGATAAATTAATTTGCTACATTTCAATTTTCCAAATAGTCAAGAAGAAAAGAAAAATAATTTCAAATTTTTCTTATAGAAAAAATGAAGGAATTCTGGACATACACTGGTTCGGAGACAGTACACCCGTACAGAGAAACTGTTCAATGGATTATTTTCAGGGCTACTGTTTGGATATCTTCGAGTCAGGTATTATTTCTAAGTTGGGAAATTGAAAAAAGAAAGTGATGAGTTTGAATTTTCTATTAAATTTTTGCAGTTGGATAAATTACGTACACTGAAACGTGAAGGTTACGAATGTGAAGTTGAGGAAACAATGTTACCAATTCGTGCAGTTCAACCAATTAATGGCCGTATAATACGTTCATCATTTCGTTCTTCAGCCCAAGCAGCACGAATAACAGAGACACAATAACATTATTTGCTATCATCACATTGTACTTCGAAATCTCAAGCCAACGATAATAATTGAAAAAGTGTTTATCCCCTCTGGTTCTATGCGTTTCTGACATGCACAAATTATCAGCTTTTCATTTTTTGATTATAATAAGCATAACATCGAATTTCTAATTTAAAGTAAAACAGACCATTAGCTGAACCACTTCTTCGCAAGCACCTACTTAGACTGAACTTTTTAGACTGGTTTTGTAATTACTGTATCGCTAGAATTATCATAAGTTTATTTATTTGATCATTTATTAGACGTTTAATTTAACTATAACAGAGCTAATTTTGACATACACAATTAGTGGATTATGGTGATCTCGATATGTAAATAAATGAATATATTTTATAATAAATTTTCCACTTATGCACTTAAAGAAGACTGAAAATAGATCTCTTCAAAAGCATTATATAAGCAAAACGAAATTTCTACAGCAAAAAGTTCGAAATTTTTGCAATTAAGCTCACTATGGATTAAGAATGACATACTAAAAATACTGTGAATATCTAAATAATGGACGAATCTTTGCTAGATGATACATCAATAACATCTTGTTCATCGCTAGATATAGTTTCTGGTTCGGGTGCTCCGTGAACAGACTCAGGACTGGAAACATTGACTGCTTCGACAGCACTAGCACCAGGTGTTAACACTCGATCGACTTGGTCATCAAATTCCACCTCTTCGTGCGCTGATTCTCGACTGGATACCGACACAACCTGATAAATAAAACGGAAATTTGATCATTCTTCACATAACGATAGGAAATAATTTTTTGTGGAATATGACAAAAATGGAATATCAACTCTAAATCTATTAATATCAAGTAAGGACTACTTCGTCCTATCAATATAAATAAACAAATACTTCTTCCACGTTTTCATTAGTAACAACGCTGACAGTGCCATGATGATCGATGCCTGTAATAATCTTTTAAATGGATTTTCATTCTTCTTTCATTTATTTCCCAGAGTTTATAGAGAAAGAGACAATTATTACTAATTAAACAATTTGTAACTCATGAAAATTATCTAATTTATTTCCTCTAATATTACACACCAAAATAATTAGAAAAAAAGAATGCACCATACTGTTCCACAATTTGGTTATCTCCTTGTGCTTGTAATGTTCGAGTACCATCAGCATTTTTTTGCAACCGTGTATTTTCTTCATGTGCACGAGCTAATTCTGCTTGCAAGCGTTTTATTTCTTCATCACGTTCTGCCAAAATATCTCCAAAATCTACGATAATTTATTTTAAAGTTGAGTTAATATAAAAAAAGGTGATGTGCAAGAAGTGATAAGTTCTAATTCGTCTAGTCAATAACAAAGTTAAAAATTACCACAATTCAGAAATTAGGCTTGAAAACTTGATGTAGTTGTTCAAATAAGATATTTTCATCAAGTGTAGAAAAAAGAAAACATACAAAAAAACCCCATCAAATTAGGGAAAAGAATTCTTGGACAGGAAAAAAATTAATAAATAATTTCAAACCAAACTAAATCCATTATTGATTTAATAACATTACATAGGAAAGAAAACATTCAAAATCTAGGGCTTTTTTTTTCTAAAAAGTGATTTTAACCTACCTCGACATCGTTTTCTTAAACCTTCAACAGTTTTTCGACAATAGCTTAACATAGTTTCTAAACGAATTGTTCTGGTCGCTTCATTTTTAAGTTCGGCGTTCTCTTTCTCTAGCTTTTTACACAGTGTTGCTAATACCTTCGTATCACTGCTAAAGAAGTTTAAAATTAAACAATTCACAAATAAGGGTCTTTTGAATGAAATAGAATAAAGGAATGATTGAGAACAGCTAGCCTTTCCGATCCATTTTTAAGAGCCCTTAATTCAAGTGTCGCTAATTTAGCATCCTTACGCGCTTTACGAATTTCATCACGCATTGCTGAGAACATCACCCCAACTGCTTGATCAACTAATGTACAGTCTGCTTTATTCTCATCACTCGCATTACGTTTCATCGACTCATTTTCATCCTATGAAACTAACATCATATAAGACAACTTTCATATGTAAGCTTGAGAATATCTGCTTTGACCAGTAAATATGAACAGATTTTAAGAACTATTAAAAGTGATAATTTATGGATAACACGGACACTGCAAACATATCCAAACCCATATATGTTCATAAAATAATGAAAAACTATTTAGTACATATTTAATTCAATTTAGGCCATAAAATCAAGAAATTTCGAAATGAAATATAGTTTTAAATATGAAATATATTCAAGGTATGACAAATTCCAGAAATAAATTAACAATCGAAAATTAATCCATTAACAGTAACTGGAGGATGTAAATCTTTCAGATTCTGCAAGTCTATCAGAATAAATATTTGCACTTCATTCGAATTAACAAGACAAACCAATAGATCGCGTAATTGCTTCTCTTTAACTGCCAATCTCAGATTAGCTAAATTTTCACGCTTTTGAGATATCTGCAACTGCTTCTGCAACTCATCACCGTCCATCTGCTTTGATGAGGTTTCCGACGGTCTAAATTTTAATACAGTTAAACCTCTCATTTTATATCAAAACATTAATCAAACGAACGTTCCTCGTTTTGATGGACGAACATTAACTTAGTTCAATTAAACATTTTTAATCGAAAACAAAGTTGTAGAGAATGCTACTTCTCATCTTTATCCTGGATTGGCTCAGGTGATGCATTGCTTTGAGTGTCCATAAAGAATCTTTGATTGCACCTCTGCTCTTTCCAAAATCTGAAGTGAAAATAAACATCTGGTATAATCCAGATAATACCACGTAAAATGTCTCAATCGCTCTGAGACTTTAACATCGTAAATACTGATTTTCATATAATTTTGCAAGATTCGATTTTATCCTCAACCAGTCGAATTCTTCTTGTTCATGCCCGCAATCTGAGAATACAAGATGTCATCATTTTCCTCATTAGACATCACGACTATTCTCCGAGTTATCAATGAATCTCTTCCGCCTTTCCGTTACTTCAAACCCATCAAATAATCGGAAATTTTCTCTTGTTAACTCTAACATTTTCTAACACTGATGCCATACTCTAAGCCTGTTGTATGTCCAAGAAAGATGCACCTACGAATTTCCGGAACTTTAGATTTTTCTAAAAATAACATATTTCATTACGCAAAACGACGAAGAAATTAATGTTGAGGGTAGAAACTATTTAATGTCCATCGACTATAAAATATTGTTACAATTATCAAGACATGAAAGAAAAAAAAGCAAAATGTTACGTGATATAACAAGTGAAAATAATTTAGCAACATCTACAAGAACAAATAACACAAATAAAGAGTAAATTATATTATAGTTCATACTGATTAGTAGAAACACCTGAATTTTCTAAACGGACATACTAAGCACCTTCGAAAGCGAAATATACAATAAATTTAGGCTCCTCTTTGCATTGCTTATCATAAAACCTTAGAATAACTCAAAATTCAAAATTACTGACAGGTTATTGAAACGAATCCTTCAATCTCCTCGAAGCATATTAATTTCCCGTTATCTTAAAAGAATTCCAATATTTTAAAATATTCTCACGTTACAGGAAAATATTTAAAAAGAACATTTTTAGTTTTTGAAACTTCAGAACAATTCTAAAAGTTTTTTTTCAAACGCATGTTTAAATACATCAAAACATGCAACTTTTATGAAATATATACATATGTCTGGAACAGTAATGGTACAACTAAAAAATCATTATTAGAAATGACTATTCAATTTGAGCAGTTACATAAACTAACTACTTAAAACTCATAAATGTATATATGCCTTATTAGCACAATAAACATATCTATACCAAAAAACTATACAGTATTGCACAGAACATAATTTTTCCGGAATAAAAAGTTACTAATCAAAAGAACAACAGTGTTTCAACACAGAATTCTAATTTCTTCAAATAACAACTCGTTTTATCGTACTGAAATTAGCAAGAGTAGACGAAAAGGGAATAGGAAAACCAACCATTTTCTGCATAAATAAATTTATCGAAGACTTAAAAAGTTCTGCAATTCAATAACAAGCAGCTTTTTGAACACATATCTCTCCACTGCTAACAAGAATCAATCCTGGAATTAAAAAAAAAAAAAGAAAAAAAATCAAATCTTGAGTTTAATTCAAACTACCTTCCTTGGAACAACGATATCTACTTAACTCCATCTAGCACCGGAAGAACAACTTTTCTTTCGCAAGAACAAAAAAATTCGTCATTCATTTCCACTAATACAACCCATATCAATATTGCATTACTCTTATACCACTCTAACCTTCCTACTCTATTTCAGTAACATAGTTTTACTGATCCAGCGTTACTTTCTTTATGTTACATCTTCCCTTGCCGTGAATCAAATGTAGTTTTCGCAAATCGCAAGAAAAAAGAATACGAGAACTTAGATGGAAGTAATTTTAAAAACTTTCATTTCTGTTAAATGGAATACTTATTTCTCTATATAATATATAATATATATATATATAATGGAATACTTAGTACTGCCACTATTAGCTTCACGCAATTTTCCTTGTTTAATTTGATTTTTCCGAAGTTCCTGTTAAATCACTAGACGCGAGCAGTATGCGACGCAATATGAAATGCTCTGCAGAAATTTCCATTCAGCTTTGAAATTTCAAGGAAAATCTATAGAAAAACTTTAAAACTATGATAAAGAAGTAATATGAAAAGCGTACTCAACATAGAAATTAAATCTGAAGGTACAGATAGTTTTTGCTCTTCTATGGAATTCGAGGAAGCAGCTCCATACACTGCAAGTTTCTCAACGGTTTTCTCCGTACCAAGAACATATTCACGTAACTCTCCGAACTAAAAATCTAAATTTCATTGGTTGATGAGTCTAACCTGATAGGTCTGATGATGATGGGTTTTAAAACAGAATTGTATGTTCCCCAGCGATCTGACTGCAAGTTATAGTCATGGCCTACATGACTATAACGCACGCAGTGTTAAAAAATTTAAAAGCCATACATACCAAAACGATCAAAACATCCTAGAAAAGTATTTATTTGGTTCTCCACAAACATTTTTCTATTACTACCTGAGTCTGAAAATTTCAGACCTTACCTAAAACTTAGAAAACTAAGTTTGGAACAGCAATAAAATAAGGAATTCAGCATAAACTATCTTCCTTTTTAATCGTATGCATCATTAATTTACTGAAACCAACAGTGCTACTATCGCTAGACGGTGGTACATCCCTTGAGGAAGAGCTGAAAATATTTTTCCAGGGACATTCTCTGTAATAAAATAACCCAAATTGTATAACCTAATTTTAAGAATAAAAAAATAATGTAAAAAGATATGCAGGCATTTGTTTCTGCCAACAAGTCAAGGTTTAATCAATAATTTGAACTCGAATGATAAAATAGGAATTATTACGAGAACAGAAATATTATAAATATTATGTCCATCTTGAGGAATAATACTGGCAACCAAATTGTAAATAAATTTGTGGCTTCACAAAGGATAATGAGAGAATCAGCAACAGATCTGTATAAGAAACTAATCCTGATATATGGAAAAGCAAAGTACTTGTCTGGGATGGAACTCAGCACGGTGTGCTCGAAGAGCTTCCACATGTTTCAAGATTAAGCCGCATGAACCACATATAATACCTTCATTAGGTGCTGTAGAAAAAAGAGACATCTGAAATGATCACAAAAGCCAACAATATTCTCGGTGATTGATTCTGGAAGGACAAGCTCTTTTATCTTTTATCGTGTAATACGTTTTACGAAAGTTTTCAAAAGTTAATTTTTCAGTAAGTTGGTATTCATTTTCAGTTAAGTTAATAGTTCTAAATAATTCCAGCTACTCAACGCACTATCATCAAATGCTATGATATAAGGACGTACGTAATAAGCACGAGCTCGAGCACGATCTGCTTCTCGGAATTTAGGACTTTCCCGTTGCCTACGATGTGCCTCGCGATTCCTTGCTTGTTCCAGCAATCGTTAAGCACTGTCCACAACGCTTCCGTCCAGCATCCAATATTCTGCGATGTTGCAGACTGCATCGTCACTCAACGTCTGTGAGAGGCCGCCTTGACATTACCGTTTACTGGACTCAACTGCTGTAATATGATAATGAATGCTTCATATTCTTCAACAAATGAATCACTGTCAGACTCAGATTGACGCATTTCAAGTTCTTAATTGGAACTGTAAGTTAGAAGGGAAAGTAACAATTGACAGACATACTCGCTCTCATCACTACAATCGATGAATCCATCAAACCATCACACTTTGACTGAGTTGTTGTTGAATGGAAAACTATGAACATACATCGATTGTCTTGCTGAAAAATACAGAAGACGGAGTGACACATATCTAGTGAACTTGCTAAATTGACAGACAAACATTCCCATTTACGTTTTACATTCTCCCCTTCATGTACACAACGACAAACAAACACAGATGAAGCCAATCTTATGGCAACCATAAAATTCCGAACAGATAAATAAGCCACAAACCAAACAAGCGCATCTGTATGTAAACAGATACTCGTATGCATGCAGTTTCATGCGGACAGACTGACATGTGCTAATAGCTCACATATATAAGGTTTGAAGAGAGTTCCACTCATTAGCGCACAAATTTATGCGGACAAACTGGCACTCACAACTGACACGTAGAAACGCTTAATGATATTGAAAAATGAATACTAACTGAGTTATTGGAGAATCTCTGGAAATTTGCAATAGTTAACAAATGAGTTAATTTGGAGAATTCGAAAGGAACTGTGAAATAAGATATGTATTTTTGTTGAATTGTGAGTGCCCATTAAACCTCAGCAATGTCACTTGTCCTTCCGCGGCAATTTCAGGTGTTTCATCTCTTCGATATGTAACAAACTGAAAATGATTGATGTAAGATTTCATTTTACATTACAGTTGTTGACAAATTCATTCATTCATCTGTCGTAAATTTTATTGATAAATCATTAAGAAAAGAAAAGAACTCTGAATTGTTAAAATTGAATCATGAACGGAAGGAACATTGAAGCATTTCATCATTTTATTTCTAAATGAAGGAAAGGTTTGAGATGTTGTGCTGATGTGAAGAAGATAGGCACTGAGTCACGAATGATTCACCTTGATGTCCACTATGTCCCCTTTACGACCTAGTGATGACAGTGATGTACACATCAAGTCCTCTTGTCTTGTCACTTTTAATTGCAACAAGGCCATTAACCCATCGCAAGTTGGTCTACGCAACTCGGTTTTCCACTTCTATATGATTGCTTCTGCCAGTGTTCCGTGTCCTGTATTAGTTGCTGTTCAGGTTGGCATGAATCATCTCGACCAAAGATTGTTTAATACCTTTACTGATAGTTCTGAACGTAAGTAAAGCGGAAATATCGCCAGAAGTGGCATGTGTATTCATTTTGAGATGGAGTATATATTCACATATGGTGGCCGAGTTGTAGGTGGCCGATTCCTCAGTACATGGAAGATGGCAACAATGGATTTATCCTACACGTGGGGAAACATGTTACGTGTGAGGGAAATCCACCAGAACTCAGTGATTCCCACAAATTAACCAAAAAAATATTCTGGCGAGAAAGAATCAAAGGGATTCGTTATGTGGTGGCACCAATGGTTGACCAAAGGTTATTCCATTTTTAAACTCATCATGGATCAATTTAATCATATGCGAGTTATTAATGTTAGTGCTTGACGACTTCCACGTATAGTGCGTGGGAAATGTTTAGTTTTGATGCATTTTCATGCACTGGAGTACAATGATATGCAGAGATTTAAATAGCTTATTTTAGAAGCGATTGATTTTAGTGAGCTCGCATTCCGAATGATGCTACGAAAACATGGTGCGCATCTTTGTTTTTCACCAATGATTCATGCGCAACTTTTTGTGACCGATGCTACTTATCGCCGTACGGCGTTGTCGACATGTCTTGATGATCGACCTCTTGTTGTACAGTTTTGTGCTAATGATCCGGTGATACTACTAAACGCGTGCCAGTTAGTTGAAAGCTTTTGCGATGGAGTAGATTTGAACCTGGGTTGCCCTCAACTTATTGCCAAACGTGGACATTATGGCGCGTATTTGCAGGTTTTTCCGAAATTTTTAACTTCAACTTCCTTTTTATTCCAAGTTTACTTCATATAAGTTTTGTTAGAAAATTTGGTATCGGGAAGAAGGAACTAATGAATCGTATTTGACTGATTTAACTTGTTTTTTACTGGTTTATAGTACAGAGTTGCTCATATTAACCTTGGCTAGGATTTGTTCTAAGATTTTTGGCGCTTTAGTTACTCCACAGTTGTGGGTTTATCAGGTTTCATTTCAAGTACTGATATTGACTGTTATCACATGTTCGTCCATTTCAGGAAGACTTAAAATTGATTTGTGAAATGATTACATTGCTACATTCGCGTTCACGATTACCTCTGTCCTGCAAAATACGAATTTTGCAGGATATTAATGAAACGGTCGCGTATGCCAGGTGAGTGGACTTTCAAATTATCCTATCAAAAATTTTTAAGAAAATGAAATTTATATCAGTAAAAATTAAATGGCTCTTTCTTCTGCCGACATGTGAAAATGGTATATGTTTAAGAAGCAATGATTTATCGGTAATGTTATTAATCCATTGTACTGCATTCATGGGAATGTTTTAATAATATAACTTTTATTAGTCTTTATGGGATAATTTCTTCAAAGGATAGAAATTGTAATTGTGAAGTCTGTTTGCTTTGATAAATCAAAATATACATTTGCAGAGCATTGGTGAAAGCAGGTGCTTGTATGCTTACTGTTCACGGAAGAACTCGAGAGCAACGAGGTCCGAATACTGGTCTAGCGGATTGGTATGCAATGCGCGCCGTCGTAAGCGCCGTTGATGTGCCGGTCTTAGCAAACGGCAATATTCAGGTTTTTTTTTTCTTTGCTTTTTTGAGGCATCATTGATGAGCAATAAATATGAGTGCAATTGGAATTTCAATTTCAATTTAAATATGCCTGATCTGAATGAAATTGTTATATATATATATATATATATAGATATAGATAGATATAGATAGATTTTAATCTAATTTAAAAGTGAAAGAAATTGTTGAGTGATTTGTTATTCAGTTACCCGGTGATGTTGATCGGTGCTTAGAAATAACGGGTGCAAGTGCTATAATGAGTGCAGAAGGTATCCTTTCAAATCCATACCTATTTGAAAAACGACACGAAGTAAATTGGACTGCAGCTCGGGAGTACCTGGATTTTGCAGAACGTTATGAATCTACTACTAGTGCTATCCGAGCTCACTTATTCCGTATATGCCACCACAGGTTTGGTTGTTGCTGTTGTTGTGTTCTATTATTGCTCTCATTACTGATAGGATTCATTCGTATCAGTTTAGTAGAGCTTATTGTCTGAATAGTCGAATCGCTTTGGTTGTTCGGAAAAAGGCTTAGTGTTGTACACTTAATTTATTTGAGTGATAGCTTTTTTCATTTCGTCTCATCGAACTTTGTGGTCAGTGTCATGCAAATTTCTTTAAACTTTTTGGAGCCTCTGGAAATTTTTTGTTGTTGTTATGAATTGGAGTGTTTGTAGTTTGTCATAAATTTTGAACATAATTATTTGTGATTTTTTGTGTCATGGAATTGTTTTCAGTTTATTAGAGTACAGTGATTTACGTGAACGTTTATCATACGTCTGCACTACAGAAGATTTTCGTCAAATTATGGATGATTTGGAAAGGCGTGTTTCTAAGTCAATTTCAAGCTCAGGATTGGAATTTACAGGTAGACATTTTTATATTATTTTGCAATTATGATGTTTTGGTTTTGTTAGTTCTGGATCAATTTTTTATTAACTCTGTATTGGTTTGTTATGAAAACGAAACTTTCTTAGGCTCCCTTTCTCTATCTGGTAGAAGAAAAAAATTTTTTCCTTCAATTTTTTCATTTATAGTACTGAAAGAAATAGCTTTGGCTACCTCTCCTGCATTGATGCCTCATTGGATTTGTAAGCCCTATTATCGTCCGATGCGCAATGATTCATCTATTTCTGATTCGGTGTATCGTGAACGACGGCGGGCGGAGCTTGATGCTTTGGCTCAGAAGACTGGTCTTTCAAAGAGACAGTTACGTAAGCGTGAGAAGCGGAAAGTAAGTAATCATTAATAGTACAGTTATTGAAAAGTTGTGCCATAATAAGTAATTTCTAGGTTATAATTTCGATTAGACTGCTGTATTTTGCTTCATATTTGCAAAACCAGAAACAATTTTCTGATATCCCTTTCTATTATTTAGTTGAACTTATCTCGTTATAAATCCTTTTATAAAACTGTCCCTTTTTGATGAAGACATATATTCTCAAAGAAGAAGCATAATCAGAAACATCCCAGAAGATTTAAATAGCACCGTTGAGGCATTTAGGGATTCTGTTTTGATTTTGTTATACACATCGAATTCTAGATTGAAGATCGAAAGGAACAGTGCAAGATTCAAACTTATTCGAAGTGTTTACGTTGTGATTTACCAGCCAGTCAGGGTTGCACATTCGTTTATTGTAGGAATTGTTGTCGTTTCAGAGCTGCGACGGAACGAAAGGACTGTAAAAGTTCGTTGACTTTTATTTTCGCCTTACACAAGAAATATTCGCTTTCTGTTTTAAGAGGCTCATAATATAAATATGTATTTCATTGCTTTATATTGTATTTCAAAAAAATAAGTTCAAGTTTTGTCACCGTCAAAGAAAAAAGGTCTATTCTAACTGAAAGATAAACTAAAAGGAAAAGTAATCTTCACAATAGTTGTATACTTTGGATAATATTTCTATAATATTGCATTGTTAAACGTGAAAATAGTGTCGTCGAATAAGAACAAAAATGCATTCATTCTACTAAAAATCCAATTTCATCTGTTCTGTGTAAGGCTGCTTTTCCTCATTAGGCTTTTGTCGTCGTTACACTTCGAAGGACATAGAAGAGAACATAGTAGAAAATTTCAGAAAACATCATGTTATGGTTAATATCTACTTTGCAGTCATCACTCTTTGTTTTAATTCTTTTATTTAATAGCTTTTTCTTATAGATTTTCCAATAGTACTAATTTTCTACGGCCTTTGATTACACTGATTTGTTTATTGGTTTTTTATTTCGAACTTATCAATTTCATGGCTCTTATCAAATTAGTTTTCTGAAATTTTAGGTCGTATTACTTTTCTGATTTGCCCTTAACATCGTTGAAGTTGTTATGCAAACACTCAAACGACTCTAATAATGTTGAGGATGGAATTTCTGTTACTTTGTTACCAATTTCAGCTCACAATTTCCATTTTACTACAAAGATACCATGGTGTTATCGTGAACATGATGGTTCAGCGGCAATTGCAACAGCGCTTATTTCCGGAATAATGGGATTGTAGGAAATCGAATTGACCCCGAGTTTATCTTGCAGCATTTTTGCTTGTATGTTTCATTCGGTGATTTCCGTTTTGTTTTGGTAATTTGTTTTACAGTCCATTGTTAGTTACGTTCCATATTTGTATGATTAAAACTTCATTGTTGATTTTCTCGTTATTGAAAGGTAATTAGCTTTAATAGTGATGAATCGTTGTTATTGTATCATCCTGAGGTCATAACTTGGATTTATATTTAAAAGGGAAGACTCTTAGTGAATGAGCACTCAGTTTCAAAATAATTTGTATTATATAAATTGAATTTGATTCTTTTTTTTTTATTCGTCGTATTTTTTATTCTGTGAAATGACATGTGTTAAATTAAATCGTCTTTCCATAACGGATAAAGTTTAAACTGATTAAATGTGAAAAATTTTCTTATACAGCTTGGATTTGCTGTGTTCTGTATTTAGACTGTTTCTGCTCTCTTAATAAATGTTTGTCCAACAAATACAAAATCTTTATGACTTTTTATTATTTCCTTCATGCCCTTCCGTAATGCTATATTTGTTCGAAGTATATTTTAATTACTGAAATCAGTCCAGTAATATGAGCGATGTACCCATTTCTTTGCGAACTTTCTCGTTTGTTCTCAGAAAGATTCTGCGCATGTGTGTTTTCATTTCTTTATCCCAATTAAATTTTGCGTTTCTCAACCAGTAGGAAGTTTTTCAAATGGCTTGAATAAATAAGCAGTTCAAGCATATCGGCCTTTGCTATTCGTGTCAAAGTACTGTGCTTTACTGTTTGCCTTCCAGGATATTCGGACAATGTATACTCAAAAGAGTTTGTCATTTTCGGAAGTCGAAGCAACCGTGTAAGTTCTTTTGTCGTTTTCTCGCTGATTAGATGATCTTTGTCAGGGGGACATGCATTTACAAAGACTTAAAAGTGTTTTAAAGAAGTAACTGCATTATAAGAATATGATACATCTTGAACATTTGTATGAAAGTTTTGGACATTGGTTAATTATTGGATTTCAATTTTTATGTAACAGTTGGTTGAGTTTCCTGCTTCTTTTTCAGGAATCCGACATGTACCGGAACATCGGTTTGTGCATTGGCATATGATGATGGTGTTGCCGTGATGACCGATCGTCTTGTTTCATACGGTAAAACGGCTCAATACCGTCACATAACTCGTCAGTATCGTGTGAATAATCGTGTCATTATTGCTTTCGGTGGTGATCATGCTGATTTCCAATGGTTGCAAAATGTCATTGAAAGACAGGTTCTCCATTTTTTTTTTTGAAAAGGTTTAGAAATTATCGTCCTAGTCTAGCTCTCTTTAAAGTACTTACTGAAAACAAAAGCGCGTTCTTTCTTTGGAATAACTTTTTGATTTGAAATTAATACAGTAAGATTACTAATTTTTTGTGCAGACGTATGAGCTGAAATCACACGATCCTAATGCTGATCTAAGTCCAAAAATGTTGCACGGCTTTCTGACATCGCTGCTTTATTATCGTCGTACACGAATGAATCCACTTTGGAACACATTGGTAGTTGCTGGATTGCAAACCCAAAACGATCAACTTGAACCGTTTATTGGTGTTATCACTTCTAGGTATCTATTTTCAAGTATTTTGTATATTTTTAGTATGCAAATCAACTGTGTCTGGTACTTTTTGATTCTGTAAACAGCTTCCGTCAAAAAAATTTTTTGAAATGCGTTCCCTAAAGTCTTATATTCTTCGAGTTTTTTTTTTCTTTTCTTCTTTTCAAAAAAATTCGTTTTTAGTAGATGAAGCTGCATTTATTTTTCTTTCAGGGGAGTAGCTTATCGGCCAAAAAGTGTTGCGACCGGTATGGGTGCTATGCTGCTAAATCAGGTCATTGAGACTGAACAACGAAAAAACGATGGTAAATTATCAAAAGAGCAGGTATTTTTGATAGATTTCTTGGGTGACTAAATTACTTAGATTAAACGTAAAAGTTTAGAGCATCTTGTGTTTCGGAAGTCATCAATGAAGTAAGTTGAAAACTTTCTTCCAGGCTATTGACATATTGCGTAAAAGTCTAGAACTAAGTATTTATCATGATTGCGTTGCTGACAACGAATTCGAAATTTCGACTGTTGACAAAGATGGTGTTCAGCTGGGAGTGCCGGAGGTAAATGCCTAATGAAGATATTTTTTTTAGTTTGCTGAACTTTATTTTTTATTTTTATTTTTTTTTATTTTTGTGGGAAACTTTCTGTTTCAGTTTATTGCTGGAAACTGGGATATTGCGGAATACAATTGTGATTATCAGTGATACATTGACTTCTGAAATTTTGTTTTGAAGCGTTGTAATTCTGAAATATTTCAATCGGTTCATAAAAGATCCAAAAAAGGTTGACTTTCATAAATGAATTTCTTCACGGAATGGGTTCAGTCACAACAGTTGCAAATAATTTCAGTTTCGTTGTTGGGATATTTATCTGCTTTATGACATTGGTGATTCATCAACAATCAATAAAATAGTAAGCTATACAAATGTAGTGCTGTTTGTCATACCATTATAATTCATCAAGATATATACAGTTCGACGTTAGATATTTTGAGTGCATACAATGATCCGAAATGAATTCATACAAATTCGTTTTGGACTGTATGATTTATCAAGTAAAGTTGATATGTTGCATTGGAATTTTTGTTTGTCAAAAAATTTACATCCACAGCTATACAAAATGTTCAGAGAATATAATAAATTTCTTTCAGTGCTTTTGCATAGAAAATTTGTAGAGAATGTCGTTGCTTGAATCTTAAGTATTTCCTATAAATCTTTGGTCTCTATTTCTTAATAGCAACGAGCTTTCGTTCATGAAATGAATTAAGTCTGTGAAAAATCATGATTTCTACTATTCATAGCTTTTGTAATATCTAGGAGAGAAAGATTGGTAAATTGGACCTGCCGGCATTGCTAAAAGTATCAAGCTTATCGCTAGTGATTAAGATAATTTGTGGCATTACAAATATCATCAAAACTAATTTAATATGGTCGGTGTAATGTGTGGGAGGTTTTTATGAATAAAATCTATGTGTGCTGATTTCTCATAATTTAACCAATGAAATTTCGAAAATGGGACGGAAAGTTTTCTTGTTTTTTTGTTCGTTTTTTTTTTTTTTTTTTCAAAACAGTACTGCTGAAAGGAAGACTGAAGATGAATTTTCTCTTGGGATAAGGGCAATGCATAGAAAAAAAAAATTATTACCATTTTGCAAATCTTGCTGAAATGTGATGGAGCCTTTTCTTTTTTGCTTTTTGTTAGGATGATCAATTTTTAAGAAAACTGGAAACTGGAATTGCAGAAGGATATCTATCCTTCCGGTATGTTTTTTAAACATTAACAGCAATATTTGGGGAGAAAGAAGTTCCCCTTGTAAAGTCAGATGCTTTAGAACATAGTCTATCCTTTTTCTGAATTTCTTTATATAGGAAATTTTATTTTATCTTTTGAAAATGGATTTTATGTTGGTTTAATTTGGAAAAAAAATATAATCTAAAGTGTTTAGGTAAAAGAATACTTAGCTATGGTTATGGATCTTTCCCTTAATAAACAAAGGTGCAATTAAGCGATTAAATTTCCTTGATGAAAGTTTGTTTTGAATAAAAAACAGGATAGCATGGAAGAGGAAAGGATAATTACATAAAAGTATTTTATCACTGGTAAACGTAATAATGATCGTATTGTTGGGTAAATAATGTAATTAAACAAGATAATGGATCATCATTACATACTAAATTTCCTGTTTTCATTTTGTGAGATAAATGACTGATAGTAAAACGGGAGATGATGTAGTGATAGTAGTAGTGCTTATTGAATATTTGAAACATCGTCATCATTTCAACAATATCGGATAAAATTACGATAGTAGTGATGGCATAAATGACAATGCTTAATAATCACTATCATATAGAAATACTTTATCAACTCTATGAAGTGAATGGAATTCATTACTCTTTTGAATGTCGTTATCATTGAGTATTTTGTTATAGTTGGGAGGAAACTTTAAATTTTCAATTAAAAAAAAACATATTTCGAGCTATTCGGAATGCCAATAAGTGACTCCCTTTCCAGTTACACGAAAAAAGTCTACCAGTGTGTGTGTGTGTGTGTGTGTGTAGTAAATTAGTTAAATATGAATGTATCATTATCATCATTACCATTATAGCATTGGTAGTAGCTACTATTATTATTATTATCTTCCTTAGTCATCATTTCCATTACCACTTTACCTATTATCGCTCATTACTACCTTTTCCAATCTTGTTTTTATAGGATTCATTAATTGCTGTTACTAATAGCGTAATCAGGTTCTGATGAAATATATGTGATAAGTGCTCCTTCCATCATCACTTCAGAGCCTTACACTTTACTGTGGGGTAAGCACAACAGGTAGTCACAGACAGGTGTTATTATAGGAAGTACAATGCTGAATGCTACGGTATGGCGCTCTTTCCATTTCTTCTTCTTCTCACCTCTGCCATTCTTTTTCTGCTATTTTTGTCTTCTAAACAAAATTTTTAGAACTGATGATAGAATGATAGAAACAAGTTGTTGTTATTGTTGTTAAAGGAGCTATTGCCAATGTTGGTAATGCTGATGACAGTGATGATAATGATGACAATGATGATGACAAGGGTGATAGGTTCCCACTCTCACTACTCCACATTATTTATTATATAACCGGTGTGTTGCTACCTCCTCCTCCTCCTCTTCCTCCTCTTCTTCCTCCTCCCCCTCGTGTCTTCCATTCTTGATGACACTTTTGTTTTCTCTCACAATTGCCATTATGATCATTATTATCAACATTACTGTTACTATTGTCATCTACCAGTTCTCTTCGTTGACACTTTCTGCTACTTCCATTGTTACAAAATCTCTCATTCATTTTATCTTATTTACTTATTCACCTGCTATTTTCATATTAGCTTCTTTAGAAGTTACCAAAAGCTTCAAAACTCGTTGTATGATTCCATCTA